ATCCATGAAAGCTCTCGCTGGCTCACTTTTCTGAGAACTGATTTAGCAGCAGGCCAAAAACTTCAACCCCCACACCATCTGTCAAGAGCATTTTAGTACGAAGACAGGCCTAACGCTCGTGGGCGGAGCTTGTCACATAATGATTTATTGCTTTTTGCATTTTCGTAAAAAGCCATTGCATTATTATGTTGCAACACCCCTGGTTTCCTGTTCAATCTTTGGACACCCTACAGCCTTTAGAGTTATGCAATATTTTTGACCTGTGGTCATCCGAGTATAAAAACACCCCTCCCCATCTCTAGCATCTAGTGTTTTTGTTCCTCAAACAATCCTGTTAAAAATCGTATGACTGCTACTTCAAACAGCGCATACTTTTTCAAAATTTGGTATTTTTTCACAATAAAAACAAACTCTGCGACAGTTGGTGCTTATCTGCGTAATCTCAAAAAAATCCCAATAAAACTAGCAAAAAGTATGAGTTTTCTTTTTTATTTTTTCTCGAATTAGTAGCGGTGTTTTTTGGAAGTGAGAGCAACTCATACTTCTTTGATCTGTGTGGCGAACTGGGCTGGCAACGGTGCCGGACAGAATTTCAGATCCGGCGTGAACATCGGCATACGCGGCATTCCCTCCATCGCGCTCTATAATACAGTGCAGTTATTCGACGCTACCTACTCCCTAAATAAGCAACAAAAAATTTGCATATTCATTTTAATGAGTAAAACGAAATTTGCACTGAAAATGAATGGGCAACAACGACCAAAACGCGTTTGCAATGCACAAAAACCCGAGCTACCGCATGCAAGCCTATCGGCGAAGTAACGTGCAACAGAAAGGTATTTTAAAGTAGAAAGAAGAGAGGAAATAATATTAAGAAATTAGTAAAAGCAGTAAAAATATTACTATAAAATTATTATAATGCTAAGAAATGCTTCGGTCTATTAAGTCGTATACATTTCTTACCATTACCACATTTCTCACAAAGTTACAGTTCAGGGATGAAACACAGACAGGCTACCACAAGTCACTGCACATAGAGATTTGCCTATATGGGAGATTTAAATGGCATTTCCAGTGTTTTCATTAATTATCAAAAATCGATTGTGTTCCTTTCCATGGTAGGCCAATAACGTCAAAAAAAACTGGCACACACTGACGATTTCACACACACTGACGATTTCAGGCTCCCGCCCTTTTCCAGTCTCCTAGCCAAGGATATTCACGGTTTATATCTTTAAAATTTCTACAACACTTAGCACTGTAAATCCCAGAATGCTTGAGAAAAATCAGTGGCAATCTGTGCCCCCCCCCCCTCCCCCCCTCCCCTTCTCGGCCTCTTCGTGGTCAGAACAGTATCGCACGGGCGTAGCCAAGTGTAGCCCAGGAAACGACGAGTACTTGTAGAGTCTGTCTCATAAATGTGCCCACTGTCCTGCACTTTCCACGGTGGCGCCGTAACGGCGGTCAGACGGATTTGTGAAGGGCCTCAGCTCACTCAGTGGACCCAGGCCACTCTCGATGGTCACTCGATGGATCCCGAGCCACTGGACGATGGATGGGGCCCAATCGGCGTATCTTAGATCTTCGCAGCCTGCAAAAACGGAAATGCGCCAAAGGCCGTTCAGCAGATCGAGATGTTGCTGTTCACCGGCCATTGCATTGCCACAGCCAACGTAGCGTCTTGCAACGCATTCTATAGCCACAGCAACGTGTTGATCGGTTGGTTTCACGTTCGTCCGCGAGTGTATTTTCTTGTTATGTGTGGCAGGCATGTTGGTGTGGTGCGGAAGACGGCTGTGAGGGGAGGGGAATTTTGTCGTTCGCTCTTTGGGAA